AGAATGAAAATATCCCCATATTAGAGAGATGCGTGGACCACCTGAGTGCATCAACCGGCGCGATGCTCAACTCGAGCTCGTGCTACCGCAGCTGAGAAAATTGATTCTCCAACCTTATCTTCAGATGTTACGCGCAACCTTGCCACGTACACTACCTAGTAGCTTCGCTGATAAGGACGATAGCGTATGTGGTGTTGTGGACAGTAAATGTCAGACTGAGTTCAAAGGCGACAAAGGTACGGTTGAATCGGGGGGGTTTGACGCACGCACGGAGGACGAGACGGCAACGAAGATCGAGGCTACGTGGCAGGTAGCGTTATGGAAATGACAGCTGATTGGCTTGGGGTTGCGGTCATGTTCGGATCCAAAGGTCCCAGGTTCGAGTCCGTAACAGTAATCATGTGAATCGAGTGGGGGCAGTTCGCCGGTCTATGTGTACGTAGACAGCTGTACGTCGGCAGACGTTGATGAGAACGCTCGTTGACGGCACCTGGGAGGCTCACGGTCCCCCCAAAGAGCGTATTGTGGCGTCTGACGGGCCGAAAATTGGTAAAGGGGAAAGCGCCGGCTTCACGGCTGGGAAGGGCGGTCGCTGATGCCACTCCCGTGGTGCACGGTTACTGGGAGAACGCAGCGGTGGCCGAAGACTGCCCACGGCCGACGCAAGTACCCGCGGAGGCCACCTGAGTGAGCTATGGTTGGCAGCCGGACTATCAAGGAGCATGTGACTTGACCACGGTTATGACGAGTTCGAGATTACGACACGCCGCTGGTTTAGGGTTGGTTGAAGTACTAAGAGACGGCACAAGAGACATGGTTGTCTCGAGTACGTCGGAGTAGAAAGTGTCCGGTGTGCGGTTGCATGTGAGCGATGGATGGCCCGAGTGGAACGGCTTGGTAGCTGTGAGTAGTTTCGTACGACGTTGTTGGAAGTGTCGGTGGACGTATGTCAAGAGATACCCACTGGCAGACAAGATACCGTACTGTAGTGAGTGCTGAATGATGGTGGGATTGGGAGGAACGCAGTCAATCCTGCATAGTGAGCATGCCCCGGCACAGTGTGGCTCACTGCCAGTGACGGAGACAGTAGCTGTCACAAGTAGGTGACGAGACAGACCAAATGAAGTTCGCAGTACACGAGCAGCCGTCGGTTCTCAACCTACTGGGGAGGAAGGAACTATAGCAGTTTGGTTTGGCGAAGAGAAGGTCTAGGGCGAAGGCTTTGGTCTTGGCAGCGCAATTAGGCGCGGTCGATGAGCAATGGCAGGTGTAGGAGGGGCGTAGGGGGACTCGACGGTGACATGAGTGAAGGAGTCGTGCTTGGGGACTAACAATCAGCCATACAAAGCGAGGATAAGACATCTCGAGCCAGAGT